GAAGAAATGAGGCAGTCAGGAAGTGCTCACTCACTCGTCGCATTAACGAATTGAAGTTCGATAGATCACTGCGATATCACTGCATGACTGCTCTGGTAAGTGCTTTTTATGACTTTTGAACTGATAATTAATTGTGTGACGTATTGATTGATCGAATTGACGTCATAACGTGTATCATTAATATTGTTGTAATAGAAAAGTGAATTTGTAAAGTAAGTATTTGAAAGTAAAAACTTGTTCCTTTTAAATATAACAGCAAATTTTATGCAGTTATTACTCAGTATAATTTATTTCAATTTTGTCAAACTCGTCGTTCAATAAGTTATTTTCGCATATTTAGTAGCATATTCAGGCTGTTAGCACGTATAATTTTACTTAATATATACTATTTTAATAATTAATAATTAATTTATATTTTTTTAGATTGACGTGCTGTTTGTTTCATGGAACTTATTCGTAAATTGCACCGCATTAGTTCTATTGAAAGATTTAAAAATTCATTTTTTACGTAATTATGCAGTTATTACTCAACACAGTTCACTTCAATTTTCACGTATCATTTTTTTTCAAACACGTATTTAATATAAATTCATCATATATTTCATGATTATGAATATTGCGCGTAAATACGTTACATATTTTATGAACTTTACGCTTATTTTAAAATTTGGGTAGTCGGTAGAAAAATATTTGAAAGAAATCATTTTTCATACTCTGAAATTTCATTTTTCAAATTTATGAAATTATCTATTACGACTTGTGTTTTTACGTTAACTGAATTTTAATGTCACTGCGTGACCTTTAAATAATATGTGACTTTATTCATTTTCATTGCTTTTAGCAACTAACAATTTTCAACATTTACGTAAACAATTTTTTGCACCTACAATACTGTAACAGCAGTTGAAATGATTGCAGTGTAATTTGGAGAACCATCTCAAATCGTTATGTAAAATTTCAAGATTTTACTGCTTAATTTTTTGTAAATGTATAGAAATCATCGACTTGTTCAATATTTCAGATATATAATCACAGTATAAAACTTTATATTGAGAGTTTCTAATGCACAATTTATTATCATACAATAGGCAAATTTGCATAAATAATAAATTTTAAATTAAATTAATAGATAAGTCATAACTTAATATAAACAGGTCAAAATTAGATCGACCCATCACTTGTGTATTGCTGCGAGGCATTGGTAGATTTGTGTATTTGTTTCTAAATTAAATATATATTCGCTAAATTAGTAATGCAGACAATTATATCGTTGTAAAGTTTTTTGTCTTATTTATTTTTCTTTTTAAAAACAATACGAAATTTATTTTGAATGCAATAATCTTTTCACAAGTAATATTTGGAAATTTTAAAAGTTACAATTAAAACAAATTTTTTTACAGTAGTCAACAATTAAGATAGCGGCAAGTATATATACTTAAAAATTAAAAAAATAGTTAATTAATTAAAAAATTAGTATTTAGGAAAACTAATGCTTTATACTAACCACTAATAGATAAGTGTTGGAAAAGATAAAGTCGAATGAAAGATAAAAAACCAAAACTAATAATTTGCATAAACCATCGAAATGTACACAAGAACGAAAAATGCAACTGATCACAAATGTGTAAAGCAAATATAGCCATTAGTATATTTGATATGCTAATAAATAGTATTACTGCGTGAATAATATGTTGCACCGCACCTTCCATCAAAAAATGTCCAGTCTAAAATTGTTGCTTATATTAATAATTTATTATTATTATTTATGGTAATAAAAAGTAATTGAATAGGTACTTACCTGAGTAAACAAGTAATTAAAAGTAATAATAAAATAGTATAGGAACAAGAAATGAAAGTATATGTACTAATTCTTTTTTTAATATTTGTTAATGTCGCAAATAACACTTTCATTTCTTTTAATTGTCACTAAAAATTGAATTGCATTTTACAGTCTATTACTTAATGTATTTAAGTACTTAATTCTTCAAGTCACTTAACAGTATTTGCATTTTTTGTTACATTAAAATGAATGAATAAATATTTTTTATTACAAAAAATGACTTTACCACTAGTAAAAGATAAATGGCAAACGTTGTATACTTCACTTTATCGTCCAACTGCTCAAAATAATCATTTTTTTTCGTGATACTTATCTGATCTATTTTCAGTTCTTCATCATTCAATGGTTCATAACGACAATTCAAGTACTCTCGGCCAGCATTGCTTATTCGTTCCGATAATAATCTGTAATAATATAATTTGCATAAAATGTAAGCACTAATTTGTGTATATCTCGTAAACTGTTATCTGATTACTTGCAATTACTTATAGCTTCAGATATTCAATCTAATCAACCAAAAAGCATATCCAATTGAACTTTGTAATTGACTCAAATTAGTAGTTATCTCAATAATTTAGACTTCTGAAAATATTACTACTTATTTGTGTTTTTTGAAAAATATTTTTCAAATGTTGTTTATATGGCAATAATTTGAAATCTTATCTTATGCTAATAGTCAAAAGCTTACAAATTAAAATTACAATGCTAATAAATATATTATTGATTTCCTAGAATTAAAATGATAAATATCTTCTAATACTTACCCTCTTAATTGTGCAATAATGCTAATATAATGCGGTATGAAAGCAAGAATTTTTTCTTTCAAAATAGCATCAATAATCTCCCTTGCACAACGCTCAATTGACATGTATGGTAGCCAACTTTAAAGTAAGTAATCAGAAACTACACCAAAACTGTGAATGCTTTAAGAATCAAACATTAATTTAGCAAGCTAGCTGTGTTAAGTATGTCTGATATTTGGCATACATCACAAGCACATCAAAATTGCACAATAAAACTTATGAAAACTGTGAATATTAATTATATAATTATTGAAAATAATTGTAGTATAATTTTATAATAATACTTATAGAATATTCATAATTTTAGATAAAGTATAATGTCAAAAGGTCACGTAGAAGTAGGCCTCATTTTCATTTTTTGGATCATTGGTGTTCGTGTGAATATTAATTATATAATTATTGAAAATAATTGTAGTATAATTTTATAATAATACTTATAGAATATTCATAATTTTAGATAAAGTATAATGTCAAAAGGTCACGTAGAAGTAGGCCTCATTTTCATTTTTTGGATCATTGGTGTTCGTGTGAAGTATGGACATACGGTCGTACATCGTATACCATTCAAACCCCTATCTTTCATTTCCATTTCTAAACATTGCATTACACCACGAATTGCGAATTTTGTCGTGCTGTAAGCAAATAAAAAATTACAGTGTTAATCAAAAAAACTTAAAACAAAATATTGAAACTGAAATTATCGTTGGTAAGTACAGTAATTCAATACAGTAACTTAATGTCATACTGTGCACAAATTTTTTCTTTCTTAACCAGTTGATACTTGCCAAATGAATTAAAGATCAGGTAGAAAAGATATGTGGTATGTATATTTTATTAATTTAAACTTAGCACAAACTTTTCAGATAAACAAAACTTGACGATGAATTATTATTATTAATTTATGTTACTAATTATTGTTATTATTATTAATTTATATGGTTGTCATTAATTTTTATTATATATTAACTACTATGTAAAATGACTCACTGTTACTTATTCAAAGAAATATTAATATATATAGTAATAAATTTTAAAAAAGCATTTTCTTTTAAAGAATATTTTTTGGTTAAACTTTACTAATTTAACTTATTGATGATAACTACTATGTAAAATGATTAAAAGATGAGAGTAATAATAAATTTTTTCTAAAATTTGTATTAAAACAGGCATTATTTTTAAAAAGCATCGACTTCCACAGTATTTGTCTTCCTGAAATATTTTAAAATCCGATAAAGACATCAAATTATGAGAACAGTACAAAATTTACCAATATGCGGTACCGTAAGTTTCACCGCAAAAACCAGCAATTGATGAGATTGCAACAATTTGGCCCTCATTTCGTTGTTCCATGGATTTTAAAAATGCACGAATTGTCTGCAAAAAAGTTTTAATTTTTTTATCCGAATAATTGTAATATAATAATAATTAATAAGTATAATAATCTTTTTATTATAAATTGTTTTTAATCTTTCTAAATTAATAATAAAAAAAGAGATAGTATAAGATATCACATTTAAAGTTCCCATTATGTTGACATTAACGGATCTCTGTAAATCTGACGTTTTGAAATCTAACATTCGTCCAATATACAAAACAGCTGCATTACAAATTACAATATCAACATTACCTGTAATTAATTAATTCAGTAATCCATCACAATCGATGTTATAGTTCAATCTGTGCTTAAAATTTGTCAAGCACAAGCATTACTTTTTTATTTCACTTACTGCTTGTTGCTTGAAACAAAATTCAAATTAATATAATTAATTAACATTATTCTGTTTATTTTATTAAATTTAACTATAGTATAATGCATAATAAAATTATTGCGATATAACACATTCCTTGAACTAATCATAGCAATAAATTAGTATAAATCTTTTTTTCATAACAATTTACTGCTAAAATTTAATTTGAATTAATTTTTAACTTGAAATTAATTTTTATAAATAATAAAAATATTGGAACTTATTTAAAATAGAAATTATAAAAAATTATCCTACCAAATTTATTATCAATTTCTTTGGCACATTTTTCAATTTCTTCCGGTTGGCTAATATCACACTTCCAAGACTGCGCAGTACCACCACATTCAACAATTTTATCTACTGTTGTTTGAGCATTTTCCTATAATTGTAAGTTTAAATAAATCCATTTACTTACTTATATGTTTATATTAATTTCAAATTAACAATAAGTAAAATTACTGAACGTATCGAAATTGTAAACAAATTTAATTTAGATCAAAGAAGTATTACAGTATTGCATAGTATAATTCAAAATATGAAAACTAAAAGAAATTAACAATAAGTAAAATTCATTTGAATTTTTAAATTTTAGTAAAATAAAGTAGATGGAAAAGCTTACATATTATATCATAGTATTTAAAGTAATTTATAACTTTTTATATGTCCAAAACAAATCATCAAACATCCTTTAATGACTGCATATATTAACAACTTCCACTATTTTTTACTTAAAATAATCATAAATAGTTCAAGTATAAATATTTTAGTTATTAAAAAGTTAATTTGATTTATCATTTGTAGTAATTTAACTAACTATAAGTAATTTGTATTTAAATTTATTAGAAACAATTTAATTATAAAATATCGCATAATAACAGAAATTAAATTTAAATTACTTACAAAAATTCGAGTTATGTCAGAATTGTAGTTATGATAAAAATTATATTAAAAAATTGACTATTAAAATGAATGAGTAAATTGTACATTATTTTGTTAATTAATTTTTGACATAAAATTTGGATAATTTTTTAATAATATTAAATATTATGCAAAAATCTAAAATAGATTAAGTGCTAAATAAAAAGTAATAATCGAAAATAAAAAAATATTTTAGTTATTAAAAAGTAGACTTACTTTATCAATATCTAAAATGGCAACTTTAGCTTCTAATTCAATGGCAAATAACTCTGATAATCTTTTTCCAATTCCTGATGCACCACCTGTAATCACAACTGTTTGACCTTTAACCGATTTTGTTTTGCATGAAATCCAGTACCAAATGTCCAGTGGTCCAGCAACAAAAAGTAAATGAAGTAACATGCCAATTGTGGTATAAAATCTTTCTATACTTGAAACTTTTGCCATATTTGGCCTGAAATATCGTTTATCAATTAAGTAACCAATAACATATTTATATTTAAATTCTATTTTGATATAAGAAATTCAAAAAAGTTGAATAACTCTATTCAATTAATTTAGTACTGCGAAATGGCACTTACCATCTATTTACCGATACAATACCCTAATTTTAGCACAAAATTATTGTAATGGTAAATTTTTCTTATTATCTTCTTGGTTATTTCAATAGTTCCGATCAAAAATACACAACAATGTGATTCAAACCTTTACCTTTACACATATCACACATACTGAATAATTTTCATCTTTGAGATAATACAGTGGATCAACACGTCAAATCAATATTCATCATGAATCCAATTATCTTCCCGTGAAATGACCAGTTTTCGATTTCTATATATATGCAAGCTTTCTATGGTAATCGATTATGATTGAGATAAATATGAAATTGCAGATTTAATCTACGAAAATAATTTTCAAAGTATCAATGTTGACCCCATTCCATGACCTTATTCGCTACTTTTCATCTAGAATATACTTAATAATCATTATTATAATCAATCTTTTATGCCTTATCTTTTTCAACAATTAATTCGAAGCCACCAATTAAAGTCAATTTATTTTTGACTTATGAATGATTTTTTCATTACTAGAAAATATTGACCGTAATGAATGAAAAATAATAATAATAATGATAATAACAATGAATAAAAACAATAAATAATAATATCAATATTTATTTGTTTATTTTATATTATTTTTAATATTATCATTATTATTATTATCTTTAATATTAATATTTTTCTCGACAGTTTTAAAAGCAAAAACTTGTTAATAAGTAATCTCTTTGCATGGATAAAAACATTACTTAAATGCTCATACAATTTTGATAATTTGTTAATGATAAAAAATCTTTTTGCGAGAATTCTCTCTTCTAATTTACTTTTATACTTTCGGTTTTCCAAGTTTGCATTCATTTCCTACGCGTTTCTTTAAAGTTTTCCATTTTGATTCTTTGTTATTTGCAAGAGAAAAGTCTCAAACGTGTCTATTTTTACTTCTAATACTTTTTAACAATAAAAGATTTATTAATATTTGTTCATTTAAATTCATTAATTTTGTGCATTCTTTTTCAGCATAGATTTCATCGAAATCGTTTAATTTATCCAAATTTGTTAAAAAACAAAAAATTGTGTAAACAATTTTTTCTTACTTTAAACATTTCTTTCAAAAAATTTAATATCTTTCTTAATTAAATGCCGGTTTTTTAAATATATACATATTTTTTTACACATTTCAAGAATCATTCAAATACAGTTTGTTTGTAATTTTTTAAAATGTGTGCTAATTAATTAAATTAAAATGTGAATAACTGAATTTGAAATTATCATTGAAAGTCTTATAAAGCAAGTTTTTGCAATAAATTCTCGTGCTTTAATCTTTATTATTGATTTAAACAATCCAAAATTCAAATTTTGGAGGCAAAAATTTGTTAATAACTTATCTTGTCATAGCGCTTCTGAATGACTACTATATTCAAAGTAGCAATGATGGTTATTTCAAGTAACAACGATTTGAATTTATGAATCTATGAATTATTAGATTATTATTTTCAGTTAAATTCAAATTTTAGGTAAATTAAACCTTTGAAAACTTTTATACTGTCAATAGATGAATATTGTATGAAATAAAATGGGAACAAAAAATAGATACTAAAAGAAAAATTCAAATTGTGATGACACTAAAATGTGACATTTTTGAAATAAAAATTGTTCTATTCTAATTGAATGATTAATTTCAATCTGATTTAAATGTCATTACAAATTTAAATTATTCAATATAATGTTTAGTTTTTAGCAGACAAAAACAAATTATTCAAATTAAAATTGGTTTTCGGTGGCTATACTTTTTTGAAATAAAAATTCAATTTATTAATTGCAATTGTGAGTGAAAATGAGCAAATAGAGCATTATATCAGATTTTTAATACTTAATTTTGTTTTGTTTTTTTAATTTATTTAAATAACTTTTTATCGATCTATACAAAAAAATTGAAGTAAAATTAAAATAAATAATGGAATTAAATTTCTTCCAAAGTTTCATGAATATATGTCAACTGTTATGCAAATTTTTGATCAATAAATGAATGTACTGAATAAAACAAGAAGTGATTTAATTCAACGATATAAGAATGACATGAAGATAGAAACTCGACCAGCAAATTAATTTATTTGAAAGATCACACAAATTGGTGTCACACATTATGTTATGTTTAGGAGCGAAATACGTAATGGTAAGAAGGTATGGTATCAAGATTTTCATTTAGCCATCATCAAAGTGAAACAAAAGTTCACACTGGTTTGTATTTTATTTGAAATTCGAAAGTGTGAAATACTGTTGTGACGATATTCTTGCAATGGATGATCAAATCTCGTTATCCTTGGACAAAATCGAAATTGTTAGTTAGTTATTCGTTTTTTGAATAACAAAGACAAAAAGGATATGAACTCAGTTGTTATTGACTCTTTAAGAGTCCTAAAGATTTAGAAAATCGGACTTATTTGAACTGAAATCATAATAACAATCGATAATATTGACTAGTAATTAGTAAGTACTTGGTTTAAAAAATTGCAAATCAAGTTTTTGTTTACACGAGTTTGTATGATTTTTATTAATTCTGTATTATTTGAAAAAAGATATAACTTTTAGAATTTGTAAATTTTACTCGAAGAAATACCGTTTTTAGATTTCATAAAAATATGACTTGTAGATGTTTTTCAGTACTTGCATGTTGTTTGCTAGAAAATACAATGGTGATAGGGAAATTATAAATTATTCAAAGTTCATACATAGCGAGATGTTCAATTTTCTTTTATCAAGCATAATTTTGAAGTGAATGAATATTTTAGCTAGATGTGGATTCTCTTCAAAATGATCCCACAAATTTAACAATTGTTTTACATGAGGAGGATCATACTATTGGTAACGCTCTGAAGCACCTCCTGTGCAGAATGTGCGGTTTTTGATAGTTTTTGTTGTTTAAAGTATTTTATTTTGAAAAATCTTAGCCTGGAAAACAGTTTATATATATAAGCATCTATATATATAGTTTTGTTGTTTTTTTATTATTTGGGGGTTGTTTTAATAATTCAATAATTGTTTTTATTTTACAGGCTGTGGCTTTTATAGTGCTTTTGAAACGTCATATATATATATATATATATATATATATATA